CCAGCATGACCGGTTTGGCAGTGGATCAGTAATGGTGTGGGGTGGCATTTCTTTAGGGGGCTGCACAGCCCTCCATGTGCTCGCCAGAGGTAGCCTGACTGCCATTAGGTACCGAGATGAGATCCTCAGACCCCTTGTGAGACCATATGCTGGTGCGGTTGGCCCTGGGTTCCTCCTAATGCACGACAATGCTAGACCTCATGTGGCTGGAGTGTGTCAGCAGTTCCTGCAAGACGAAGGCATTGATGCTATGGACTGGCCCGCCCGTTCCCCAGACCTGAATCCAATTGAGCACATCTGGGACATCATCTCTCGCTCCATCCACCAATGCCACGTTGCACCACAGACTGTCCAGGAGTTGGGGGATGCTTTAGTCCAGGTGTGGGAGGAGATCCCTCAGGAGACCATCTGCCACCTCATCAGGAGCATGCCCAGGTGTTGTAGGGAGGTCATACAGGCACGTGTAGGCCACACACACTACTGAGCCTCATTTTGACTTGTTTTAAGGACATTACATCAAAGTTGGATCAGCCTGTAGTGTTTTTTTCCACTTTAATTTTGAGTGTAACTCCAAATCCAGACCTCCATGGGTTGCTAATTTGATTTCCATTGATAATTTTTGTGTGATTTTGTTGTCAGCACATTCAACTATGTCATGAACAAAGTATTTCATAAGAATACTTCATTCATTCAGATCTAGCATATCTTATTTTTGTGTTCCCTTTATTTTTTGAGCAGTGTATTTATGTTCACATCTTCCAAAGCATGCATATATCATATCTTTCTGTTCCTTGACACCGGACCTAGATTAATAAGAATAGTTTGAGTTACTGAATTGTTTATTTTCTTTGCTCTTGTCGAATTCTAGTACAATGCATATTATATTTTATTATCCTAGTTCACAATTTAAAAAAAAACCAGCATTTTGTCATTTTACTAACCAGACTCAGCTGCTCTGGCACTGCACTATTTTTAATACATTACAATGTGGTTTATTTGCACTGAACATTGCAGCCATTTGTGACTTACTCAATAAACATGATTTTTTTAAAAATGTCACAGGTTACAACCCATAATGACTTGATTCATACAGAGTCCTCAACCTATGATCACAATTGAGCCCCAAATTTCTGTTGCTAAGCAAAACAGCTAGGTGAGTTTTGCTCCATTTTACGACCTTTCTTGCCACAGTTGTTAAGTGAATCACTGCACTTGTTAAATTATTCACATGGTCATTAAGTGAATCTGGCTCCCCCCTCCCCCCCCATTGAGTTTGCTTGTCAGATGGTCACAAAAGGGGATTGCATGGCCCCAGGACTCTGCAATTGTCATAAATATGAGTCAGTTGCCAAGCATCTGAATTTTGACCCTGAGAATGCCGCAAAAATGTCATCAGTCTTTTTTCTGGTTGCCATTGTAACTTTGAATGATCACTAAATGCTTTGTTGTAACTCAAGGACTACCTGTAATAAATCATAGAGACCAATTTCTGGATATTTTTTTCAGCACATGAATAATAATTCTGTGCCAGCTCACTTGATGGGGAAGAGTGTTTTAACTTTTCCTTCCTGTGTCTTATTTGTATATTATTTTTAAAGCCTTAGCATTAATTTAATTGATGGAATTTGAAGCCAAGGGGTTCAGCCATAACAACCATCGGCTTGGCTGTAGAGAAATAATGAGAAAAGTCATGGGCAACAAGACTAATCAGGATGTATTACTAAATGGAGCATCCAGAGTCCATGGAAGTCTACCTTTGAGAATCATTTACAGAGAAACAAGGAAGAGAAAAAGCTACTGTCCTGTTTGTCCTCACACAATTGTCACTTTGGTGGGACACAATTGTGCTGCCTGAAGCATTTTTATCCTGCCCTATTATTAATTCAAACCCAAAGAAATCACAGAAAGATGATGATGTTACCAAAACTAAAAAAACAAACCCAAGCAATATATTTACAACAAAATAATCCATGCAGTCTTTTATTGCAGTGTTCAGGGTGAAAAAGTTTGCAGGAAAAAAAAAAACTCTCCAGGACAATAACATTTGCTGAATGCAGGGCAAACTTGGCAAGATTTTAAAGGTGGTCGGTGAGATTTTTTTTTTTAAAACAAATTTTATTAATTTTAAAGACAAACAAATCATCATTGACCATTACATACTTAAACCTTTTTCCATTATAAATTTTACAAGTCAAATAAAACCTTATTTTATACAATATAATTCTATTTTAACCCATTTCCATATGAGCATACAAATGCCTCTTATCCAATTTCTCTTTATTTCTCTTTACTCTTATTCAATCTTATTCAATTTCACTATTATTATTTCATCTATTTCTTTCTTTCTGACCGAAGGTGGTCGGTGAGATTTATTTATGTGCCGTTTCAGAATGTGTCTGACAAATTTCTCCCTCCAAATGTGAGTGGGCCTTGAGTTCTGGCTGGGTTTTATGGTACCGACAGACCTGCAAAGTACCTACTTGGGAATATGGGTGTATAGCTTTAGAGAGTGATTAATAAAATTGCTCCAAGCAGATTTACATTTTTTTAGAAAAATTAAATGTCCCAATGAAGTTTTCCAACTGTCATTGTATTTCACTTTTTATAGAACACGGGGGGCTCCATCACTGGAAATTTTTAAGAAGAGATTGGATAGCTCTTTGTCCAGAATGGTAAAGATGCGGTTGGACTAGATCAGGGGTGTCCAACCTTGGCAACTTTAAGACTTGTGGACTTCAACTCCCAGAATTCCTCAGCCAGCAAAGCTGAAAGTTGCCAAGGTTGGACACCCCTGGACTAGATAGAAGACCTGTAATGTCTCTTCTCACAATTCTCTTTGATAAGTTTCCAGTACTCCTTTCATTTGGAAACTGTCCTGAGGAGCTCCACTACTTACTCACTTGAGCTTTTGCATCCTGCATCCCCTTCAAGCCATAATCCAACCACGATTCAAAAGTGATGGGTGGATGAGCCTTCTCCTATCTAAAATATCCAGCCAGTAACCAAGCCTCAATCTGCTTAACCATGGCTTGTTAAGCAACCCTCAGCTAGCATAACCCAAAACACTAAGCTGTAAATAATGGATTACAAGCCACGCCAGCTGGGCTCATGCAATACACCAAGCCAACATGGGGCAATATAGAATAGAATAGAGCTGGAAGGGACTTTGGAGGTCTTCTAGTCCAGCCCCTTGTTCAAGCAGTAGTTTCTATACCATTTCAGACAAGTGACTGTCCAGTCTCTTCTTAAAAAACTCCAGTGATGGAGCACCCACGATTTCTGGTGGCCAGCTGTTCCACTGGTTAATTGTCCTCACTGTTTGGAAGTTTCTCTCCTTGATTAATTTCCATCCATTGTTTCTTGTCCTGCCTGCATTGGAGAATAAATCGAACCCTTCTTCCTTTGTGGCAGCCCCTCAAATACTGCTATCATGTCACCCCTAATTCTTCTCTTTAGACTAGCCAAACCCAAATATTGCAGCCGTTCTTCCTATGTTTTAGTCTCCAGGCCTCTGATCATCTTAGTTGCTCTTCTCTGAACTTTTTCCAAAGTCTCAACAACTTTTTGTGAGTGACCAAAATGGTCTGCAGTTTTCCAGGTGTGCTCTGACTAGGCTTATAGCCTGCTGGGTAAACCATGGTTTACTCCTATGAAACTAGGAATAGAATGGCCAGATTGAAAAGTGGGGGGAGAGAGGAAAAAAAAACCCTGACGGCTGGACAGAATTGCTGTCCTTCTCACAGCGCAAAGTTGCCCACCACACCTCTCGGGAAGGAAAGAGTTAAAGCGACAGGTGATATTGGGGAGGGGGGGTCCTTTCCCCCGGCTCGGAGCATGCGCACTCCACCTACCTGCCGCCGTCTAAGGTCGCTAATTGCGCGCAGGTGCCGCTCGGAGAGCCACGTGCAGCTGCGGCAGAAAAGAAGGCGCGATGCGTGGCGCGCGAGGCTGGTGGCCGGCGGGCAGGTGGGTGCTTGTGAGCCCGCAGGGCGGAGGGGGGGGGTTTCTCCCTTCTCCCCACCCCCCGAGTGGGGTGTTGAGCAGCTGAGACTTCGCGTAACCGCTGGCTCAGCCTCCCTCCCCCCCCCCGTTCCTGGCAATATTGGCAAACCATGGCTAACTTTATTGGGGTTAACTTTGTTTCTTGGGTTGGCCCAATGCATGCAACTGTGAGGGGTGCTTGGTGGTCTCTGGGCTGAGTTGTTTTCTTGCAGACATCTCATTACCCAGCTAAGTAATATCATCAGTGCTAGGAGGGAGTGGGGTGTTTGTGTAGTGAAGGAGGAGGAAAAGAGGAGAAACATTCTGAGGTCCTTAGTGCTCTCTGAGCTTTACTTGCAGACCTTTCCTGACCTAACTAGGTAACTTCATCAGGGCTAGTGAGTGTGGCTTATTCCCTTGTTTATATGCAGTAATTCTGAGCGTGGTTATTTTCTTGCAGACCTTTCATTACCCAACTAAGTAACATCATCAGTGATAGAAAGTGGAGTTTATGTAGTGAAGAAGAGGGGGAGGAGGACTATGGGGTCCTTGGTCTCTGAGCTTGGTGGTTTTCTTGCAGACATTTCCTTACCCAACTAGGTAACACCATCAGGGCTAGTGAGTGTGGCTTGTTCCCTTAGCTATATGCAGTAGTTCTCAGCTTGGTGGTTTTCTTGCAGACATTTCATTACCCAACTAGGTAACATTACCAGGGCGAGAAGGGAGTGGGGTTTGTGTCAGGAAAAAGTAGGAGGAGGAGGACTGTGGGGTCCTTGTTGCTCTCTGAGCTTGGTTGTTTTATTCCAGACGTTTCCTTATCCAAAGTAGGTAACATTATCAGTGCTAGTAGTGGCACCGATGGTGTTACCTAGTTGGGTAATGAAACGTCAGCAAGAAAACAACGAAACTCAAGAGAGCACCATGGATCTTTCATTTCAGTCCAGAACTGCAATTTTTCCTTTCTTGTTTTGGGGGTGCTGGGATTAATTTTGCAGGGAGTCGTCCTCGAGGCTCGGAGGATGGCTAACGTGACTGACGATCTTTGGAACTACATGCCTGAAGAAATTATGGCCGGTGTCTTTTCCTTCCTCTCGGTTAGAGACCGATACATGGTTTTACACGTGTGCAAGAGATGGGCTACGGCTGTGGCTTCCTCTACGGTCTGGAGTTTTACAGAACTTCGGTAAGAAGAAGAGGGCGCTTTTGTTTTGCACATGTCATTGGAGGGAGCTCAGGCATTGAATTAAGCCCTCCTTTGGTTGGCTGGTCACGTGGCATGGACCAGTCTTTAGGGTTGGTGATCTGCAGCCCAGCACAAGGTGCGAAATCGCTGGTTATTTAGCATGTGTCATATCATACACGGACTAGCAATGTAGATTAACGTTTCACCTAGATTAGTAAAACAAAATAAAATCTAAATGCCAAACACCAATGTCTAGAGGCCATCTCCTCCTACTCTACTCTACATATTCTGTTTTATATTCAGTGCATTAGGACAAAAATGGTCCTGGGAATGAATCTATTAGAAAAGGCTGTGTTCAGTTTTACTGGTCTACTGCTGCCTTACTGAATGTATTTTTAAATTGGAGGCATGTTTGTAATCATAGTGAGTGCATTCAAGAGATGGGTGTAATTGTAGAATTTGGAGGTCTTCTAGTCCAGCCCCCTGTCAAGCAGGAGAATCTATACTATTTCAGATAAGTGACTGTCCAGTTTCTTCTTGAAAGTCTCCAGTGATGAAGCCCCCACAACTTCTGAAGGCAAAGCTGTTCCACTGGTTAATTGTTCTTTAGACTAACCAGACTCAAATCCTGCAGCTGTTCTTCATATGTTTAAGTCTCCAGGCCTTTGATCATCTTAGTTGCTCTTCTCTGAACTTTTTCCAAAGTCTCAACATCTTTTTTAATATGGCAACCAAAATTGGTTGCAGTATTCCAGGTGTGGTCTTACTAGGCTTAGCATACCTGGTAAATCATGATTTACTCCTTCTATGAAGCTAGGAATAGAAGTTTCTCCTTAATTCCAGGTTGCTTCTCTCCTTGATTAGTTTCCATCCATTGTTTCTTGTCCTGCCTTCAGGTGCTTTGGAGAATAATTTGATCCTCTCTTTTAGAACTGCCTATTTATAGAATAGCTGTCATCTGGAGCAGGCCCAGTTACCAAACCAATAAAAATTTGTATGCCAGTCAGGTTGGTCTCTAATATTTTGGGGCTAAAGTCATTTGCTATGAGTACAGTAGTATGAGAAAGTGAAGGTTCGCACTATAGATAATTCTTGATTTGCAACCACAATGGGGACAAATTTCCATTTCTAAGCTGTGCTGATTTTGCAACCTTTTTATTGCCATGATGGTTGAGTGACTCACTGCAGTTGTTAAGTGAATGACATATTTATTACATGAATACAGGGAGTCCTCAACTTGCAACAGAATCATAGCAAGTGGCTCTTCCGAACCCCCAGCTGCCCACCCCTGGCTTCCCCCTTCACACTGCTTGTCAGAAGGACACAAAAGCTGATCACTTGGCCCTGGGACACTGCAACCATCATAAGTACATGCCAGTTGCCAAGCATCCAAATTTTATTTTTTTATTTTTTTTAAAATAAACTTTATTCATCTTTTATAACTTTAAAAACAAACAAAGAATGTAAATATCTTGACTTCAACAGATTGTAACATACATCTTATACTACTATTTTGTGCATTATTTACAAATTTATTCAATTTATGCGAATGTAAATATAAGCATCCAAATTTTAATCACATGACCACTGGGATGCTGCAACAGTTGTAAGTTTGAACAACAGCCAGCTGGTCAGGGCTGTTGTAACGTTGAATAGTCACTAAACCAAATGGTTGTAAGTTGAGGATAATGTGTAAATGAGATTGCAAGGACTTCTACTCAGAAGTGGGATTCAGCCAGTTCTGACCAGTTCTGGAGAACCAGTGGTGGAAATTTTGAGTGGTTTGGAGAACCGGTAAATCCCACCTCTGACTAAATCCCACCCCAACCCCATCTATTCTCTGCCTCCCACTGAGTCCCAGCTGATTGGCTGGGTCTTCTTTGGTTGCCCTGCACAGGAGAACGGAGCTGGAAAGCAGGTTAGTGGGGTGGGGAGGGAATGGGGATTTTGCAGTAACCTTCCCCTGCCACGCCCACCAAGCCATGCTACGCCCACCAAGTCACGCCCACAAAACCGGTAGTAAAAATTTTTTGAATCCCACCACTGCCTCCACTGTCCTGTTTTGGAAGTTGCTAGGTGGCTTCATGAAGGTTTCTTTGTCCCTTTCCTTCCCCCCAACAATACTTTCAGTTTTGCCTTCGAAGAAGACGACGAAGCCTATATATTAAGGACGTTACGCCCGTACCTGGTCCATATCCGACACCTGAAGATCATACTGAACCAGTACTTGGAGTTAAACCGAAGACTCGTCACCCAAACCTTAGACATGCTGACCTACAGGAGGACCAGTCTGCGGGGGCTGTGCATTATCTGCCAGGGGTTGAACCCTTACTTCTACTCTGGCCAGGATCTCCTGCAAAGCGTCCGCCTGCTTTGCCAAAGCAACCAGAACCTCGACCTGCAACACGTCGATCTTCGGCAGATGCCTTTCATCCTGGACAACGGGATAGTGCTGCTCCTGGCTTCCAAGAACCCAAACCTTCGCACCTTTCTGATCAACAACCGAGCTCCCGGAGTCATCATCCTGAAACCCGCGACGGTGGTGGAGGTGGCACGGATTTGCCCGAAACTTACGGTGTTGGGCATTCATTATACCAACCTGTCGAAGAGCCTCTTCCAAGAACTAGCGAAGCCCAACAGAGGACCCTTCAAATGCTTGGACATTTTATACGAAGGCCTGGAGAAGCACATTCCCGAAGAGTGTTGGGCCACGATGAGCCAGAGGCACCCCCAATTCCGGGTGAAGTTGGAATTCACTGCCATGGTGGACGCCACCAAGATTCTTGGTGTCCTCAAGGCCGGCATTCCCATGAAGTCTCTGCAGTTCAATTACCTCCATTACATGACTGATCACCTGAGGCTAATCACCAGCTACTACAGCCAGACAGTGGAGAGACTCATCCTTTACACAGCCTCTTCAGAGGCGCTCAACGCCTCCCTGATCGAGTTGGCCAAGAAGTGTTGCCGTCTGAAGGAGGTTCATTGTTACTGCGTGGTTAGCCAAGCCGTGATAGAGGCGTTTCTCTCGCACTGTCCCGACTTGAGAAGCTACACACTGTCCACCACACTCTTGTCTTCTATGCTACCAATATTGTGCCCCTAACTTGGCCAAGTGCCACTTGAATATCCCCAGTCCTGAAGCATAAATGCAACACGATTTGGGACGTAAAAAGGGGTATTTTCTTCCCGCAGGGTGAGCCATTTAAATAAAAGTGCTTTTTTTATTTAAATTGCTTTATATATATATATATATATATATAAATTGCTTTCTTTTATTTTGTTATTGATGCACAGATCTATTTTATAAATCGCCCGATCCGGGAATGTTCGTAAAGGATCTTTGCTTTTTTTAAAAATGATCATAATCTCTCGATATGCACAGTTCATCACAGAAGGGAAAGCACAGAATTTGGGGGGACGATGCAAGATTTGGTTTATTCTGCGTTTCTGGATTCTAATTCCGCTGCAGATTTTAATATTTTCTAATTCTTGTTATTTGGGAAATACCTTGGTCACTTGTGAGTCACAATAAAGATTTTGCATATTTTGAACAGTTTATAATGGTCTTGCTGTTTCCTTAGTTTTTTGCCTGGACCAAAAAAAGAAATCACTTTATTTTTTGTCATGCAGGTCCCAAGTTACATTAAGTCAGGGGTGCAGAGCCAGCTGTCTCAAGGTTTTTAGTAGCTTCAGAGCATCTCTAGATTTTGGTGTAGACTTATGGTTTCCCATGGCATAAAACTGCTCAGTTTCCACAATGGAAAATTCTTTTTGGCATTCTTCTTTTAATTGCACTGAAATTAAAATTCTGGAGATGCAAAGGTAGTCCTTGCTTAATGACCAGTTGCTTAACAACCATTCAAGGTAGGATGAACACCTCACTCCCCCAAAAAGGTACTTATGACCTGATTCCACTCGCTGCACTTCCTCTGCAGTTTTTCAGGCACTTGGCAACTGGCTCACCTTCACACCCAGTTGAAGCATTTGTGGTCACGTGACCACAACTTAGCTCTTTGGTCATCCTCCACCTCCACACACACACAGACCTGGCAACCTCCACTCCTCCTCCTCACAAATTCACTCTTTCTAGCACTGATGATGTTGCCTAGTTGAGTAGTGAAATGTTTGCAAGAAAACCACCAAGCTCCACACCAAGGAGTTGGCGTCCTCTTCCTCCACCTCCTCTTTCTCTTCCTCTTCCTCCTCCCCCTCCTCCTCTTCCTCCCCCTCCCCCATAAATTCACTCTTTCTAGCACTGATGATGTTCCTTAGTTGAGTAGTGAAATGTTTGCAAGAAAACCACCAAGCTCCGAGAACACCAAGGAGCTCCCTCCTTCCTCCTCTCCACAAATTCCACTCTTTCTAGCACGGATGATGATGCCTAGTTGAGTAGCGAAATGCCTGCAAGAAAACCAGCTCAGAGAGCCCCAAGGACCCCTCATATCCACCTTGAGCTACAAATAATCTCTTCTACGGCTGTCCTTTGTTTACTCTGCAGGTAGTGTGTTTCTCTCCAGATTGTCCCTTGGCTTAGCTGCCCTACGTCGCCAACCCGCTGTAGGGTTTTTTATCACATTAAACGGCGGTCCAGAATCTGCCCAAAACCACTTAAGCAGCTGACCTGAAGGCTGTAGACCGAGGCTCGCTTCTCTCCTGCCGGTTGTGTAAGCACAAGAGTGAGTGAGGGAGTGAGGTGCTGCCATTTCCTCTTCTCTTCTCCCCCCCCCCCCCCCCCCCCAGGGATTTGCTGACCTCCAGTGTTTGTGCAAGCCCGTGTATTCTCTTTGCATGATGTTGCATCTTTTTTCATGGCATTGTGCAGTTGAAAGCAGGGAGCTTTCGCTCAGAGTATTGTCGTTCCCCTCCCCACCTCCAGCCCAGCCCCATTAGCCCTGTCTGCATATTGTGAGGTGTTTGGAGTCGAGCCAATGCCTCTCCTGATAGGACCCCTCTGGGGGGAAAGGGGTGTTTCCTCATCCATGCCCAGGACACTAAGTGGCTCTTTTGCCCTCTGATCTATGCAAAAGCGAGGAAAGGGGGGGGGGGCATTGTTGCAAAAACAAAACAAAAAAACCCCAAGGGTGTGAGAGAGTAGTTTTTGTGAGTTGCAACACCATGCAGGACTCACCCACGGCCCTTGCTATGGACGGTTACACCAGCAGCGTGCCAGCCTTCCTTACTAAGTTGTGGACTCTGGTTGAAGATCCCGAGACCAACCACCTTATCTGCTGGAATACGGTGAGTCGAGAACTCATGTTTGGGCATTTAAAGGGGCAACGGAATGCACTCCAAAGTGCTTGGAATACTGCCTGGCGGTTTTGGTCAACACAATATTTTTAAAAAAAGATGTTGAGGCTCTAGAAAGAGTGCAGAAAAGAGCAACAGAGATGATTAGGAGGCTAAAATATGAAGGAATTGGGTATGTCTAGTTGAGTGAAAAGAAGGACTAGTGGAGACATGATGTTAACCGATCAATCAATCAATCAGTGTAAACCACTTCAAACTTGATTGCAGAAAGTATGACTTCAGCAACAGAGTGGTCAATGCCTGGAATGCACTACCGGACTCTGCTGTTACATCCTCTAACCTCCACTCCTTTAACCTCAAAACTATCCACCATTGACCTCACCCCATTCCTAAGAGGTCTGTAAGGGGCGTGCATAAGTGCACCATCGTGCCTCCCGTCCCTGTCCTATTGTCCCCATTTATTCGTACCTATTTCCTGTATTCTTACCCATGTTTATACTTATTCCTATTATCTTGTGAGCGATTGACAAATCAAATAAATAAAACATATGAAGGAATTGGGTATGTCTACTCTAGTGAAAAGGACTAGTAGAGACATGATAGCAGGATTCCCATATTTGAGGGGCTGCCCCAGAGAAGGGAGTCAACCTAATTTTCCAAAGCACCAGAAGGCAGGACAAGAAGCAATGGATGGAAACTAATCAAGGAGAGAAGCAACCTTAGAACTAAGGAGAAACTTCCTAACAGTGACAACAATTTATCAGTGGAACAGCTTGCCACCAGAAGTTGTGGATGCTTCATCATTGGACGCTTTTAAGAAGAGACTGGACAGGCACTTGTCTGCAATATAGTAGATGGTCTTTTTACATGAGCAGGAGGTTGGAATAGAAGATCTCCAAGGCACTTTCCAACTCTGTAGTTCTGATATTGAGTAGTCTATCCCTGTCAAAGCAGTTGGCAGGAATTCAATATCAAATGTTTTTAGGACTGTCTACGCATCTCAGTTTGTGTGTTTCTCCACTGTCTGTCTCAATGATCGTAACTATCTTGTTTTACTCAAAACAGTTTCACCGCCCTGTTGAATTCTAAGTAAGGCTCAGTTCTTAGAGGTTCACAAACTGTTTGGGCTGCTGCTGAAATCTAAATTATTTTGTAGTCCCCCCCCACCCACCCTGGAGATCTTTGATTCTGAGTGGATCAGAAATGACTATAACAGCGATGGTTCTATCAGCCATGGCAATAATGACAAAGGTGATAAGCGTACTAATTTTGAAAGCAGGTCTGGAGTTCTCAAAGTAGCTCTTGGGATGGACTCACCAGATCAAAAAAAAGCCTCGTTTAGTGGAAGGCAAATAGATGAAATTTATCTTCCTCTTATTCCCTCCTCCCATTGATCTCTAACTCAGAAAATGATTGTGGTCCATGAAAACATTATTGCAAACAGATCTGCTAAAGGATTTTACTTCCCTGCATGCCATGTTTCACAGATAGATACTGTAGATGGATGGATGGATGGATGGATAGATGGTACATAGATGGATAGTGTGTGTGTGTGTGAGAGAGAGAGAGAGAGAGGGGGGGGGATAGAATAGAAATAGAATAGGACAGAACAGAACAGAAAAGAACAGAAATAGAAATAGAATAGGGCAGAACAGAAATAGAATAGAATAGAATAGAATAGAATAGAATAGAATAGAATAGAATAGAATAGAATAGAATAGAATAGAATAGAATAGAATTCTTTATTGGCCAAGTGTGATTGCACACACTTTGTCTTTGGTGCATATGCTTTTAGTGTACATAAAGGAAAAGATACATTCATCAAGAATCATAAGGTACAACACTTAGTGATAGTCATAGTATAAATAAATAAGCAATCAAATCATACTAGGGAACAAAACATTATAAATTGTAAAGATACAAGCAACACGGTTATAGTCATAAGTGGGAAGAGCAAGATACTAGGAAGGATAAGAGGAATAATAGTAATACAGTCTTAGTAAATAAGTTGACAGTGTTGTGGGAATTAGTTTAGCAGAGTGATGGCATTCGGGGAAAAACTTTTGAGGGAGATACTGTAGATGGACAAGTATAGATAGAGAGGGGAAGAGTCAGATTATAATAGAGATAATACATATAGATGAAGATAGGTAATGGATAGATTGATGATAGATAATATATCCTGATAGATGATAGCTATAGAGATAAATAATGATAGATGGATAGATGATAGCTAGGTGATTGACAGATGATATAGACATGATAGATGATGGATGATAGATAGATAGATAGATAGATAGATAGATAGATAGATAGATAGATAGATAGATAGATAGATGATAGAGACAGAAAATTAGAAGAGACTTTGAGGAAACAATTGGTACATATGGATAGGATGCTTTTTCTGTTCAGGTGACTCAACTGTTCAGGTGAACTCATCCCCTAAATTATCCAGTCCATTGTCTTGTCATTGTAAAATAAATTCATTCTCTGTAGCCAACTATCTAGGTTCTGTTTTAAAATCGTCTAATATTTTTAAAATGCAAAATAAATTCATTCTTTGTAGCCAACTATATAACTCCTGTTTCAAAATAGTCTAATATAATAATATTTTCACTGCTGAACAGTTGATACCTTAAGATTTTCTCCCTGCATTTCATTGAAATTCCTTCTAATTTGAGCCCCTTGTCCTGGGCCCCTACCCTTCAGAGGAACATCCCAAATGCATTGATCAGCCATGTGCCTATAAACCCAAATGTAAGAACTGCATAATAGATAATAATTTACCCAGTAGCCACAGATCAATTATTCTGTATTTGTTTCAGAGTTTATATTACTTGCACCAGTTTGTAGACTCCAGATGATGTCCAGGAGAGTAAAAATACCAAATAAAAATAACAAGAGATGCATTAATTGAAGAGCTCCAGGTATAATCAGAGACATTCAATCCTGGCTGCAAATACAGTGAAATAATGGATTTTCACAGCCTTACAAAACACTAGATGGGAAGGGTATAGCATAAACTTACGGAAAACACCTCTGGATGATTTGTGTGTGTAAGATACTTTTTTTAAAAAAATGTTACGCACTGTTCAACTGCCAGTCCAGATGGCAGACTTCCTCAGTGTTTTTTTACAATGAATAATGGATTTTTCTGCCCCTAAACTAGAACTACAACTTTCAAACCATGTTAAGAAATCACATCACACCTTGTATATGATGTAAATCCAAATATACTGCTATGGAGATTCTCAGTCATCCAGGTCATGGTTGTCCCAAAAGGTGCTTTTTTTCAAGAAGCAACTGGACTTTCTGCTTTTTTTTTTCTTTGAAGATGTTTCACTTCTCATCCAAGAAGCTTCTTCAGCTCTGAAGAAGAAAAAGAAGAAACTTCTGAGATGAAGAAGCTTCTTGGATGAGAAGTGAAAGGTCTTCACACAAAAAGAAAACCCCAGAAAGTCCATTTGCCTCTTGAAAAAGCACCTTTGGGACAAATATACCACTCTTTGTCTTTGCAGACATTTTATTTATGCTTATCCAATAAAGGAAGGGTCTTTAAGCTATCAGCCATGTGCAAACACAAAAGTAAAATGGGAAAATTTAAACAGAAAAGCATGAAGAAAATAGAATGTGGTGCAGTTTTTAAGAAGAGATTGGACAATCATTTTTCTGAAGTGGTATATAGAGTTTTCCTGCTTGACTGTGGGTTGGACTAGAAGACCTCCAAGCCCCCTTCCAACTTTGTTATTCAGTGAGGGGTGGTCTTGATAACACTTCCACTGAAAGAGGAACATAATCACATTTTCCTCCCTGTCCTGCTAGAGAGATTTGAAGTGACTTCTTTCGCTACTTAAAACCGATGCCCGCAAGTTGAGATTGAGAAACTAGCTGGACAGATGTTCTACCACTGTGTCCTTTTTTCCAGTAATCATCTCTAGCAGTTCATCCTTGGTCCTGTTCATCCATCTTGATGATCCCAGTTTCTCTTTCTCACAACCTTGTGCCACAGGCTTCTCTTCTCCATCACGAGCCATGGTGGTGGAGTGGTTAGAGTGCGGTAAGGTAAAAATTCCCCTTGCACATATGTGCTCATCATCCCCAGCTCTAGGGGGCGGGGCTTATCTCCATCACAAAGCCGAAGAGCCAGCGCTGTCCGAAGACGTCTCCGTGGTCATGTGGCCGGCAGGACAAAATGCCTTCGAAGGCGCGCGGAACGCTGTTCCCTTCCCACCAAAGGGGTTCCTATTTTTCTACTTGCATTTTTTACGTGTTTTCGAACTGCTAGGTTGGCAGAAGCCGGGACAAGGAACAGGAGCTCACTCCATTACACGGGCGCTAGGGATTCGAACAGCTGAACTGCCGACCTTTCTGATCGACAAGCTCAGCGTTTTAGCCACTGAGCCACCACGTCCCTAGAGTACAGTACTGCAGGCTAATTCTGCCCTCCTGCCAGCAGTTCAATCCTGACCAAAGACTTAAGGTTGACTCAGCCTTCCCTCCTTCAGAGGTGGCTGAAATGAGGACCCAGATTGTTGGGGGCCAGAAGCTGACTCTGTAAACCACTTAGAGAGGGCTGGAAAGTACTGTGAAGCGGTATATAAGTCTAAGTGCGATTGCTATTGCTATCATTCTATCGTTTAGATGAATTGTAGAAGAGCCAAGTTTATCAATGGTGCTAACTAGGATGGCTGTTATCTCCAATAAAAGAAGATCGACGGCCAGGAGCCCCAGTTGGCATAGCCTCCTGGCTGTGCTTGTGAGCTTCAAAAATGTGCTGGCTACTCTCTGACACACAATAATGGACTGACTCAGCCCTTGGGGTTGATCAAGCAGAGCAATCTGATAGCTACCATGCCTGGGAAAACCTTTGTCAGCCTCCTTGAATTCATCAGCCTTCAGAGTTGCTGAACTGTCATCCAGGATGCCACCTCTCATGAAAACATGGCTTTTCCAGAAAATGTTGAATCAGAAAAATTCCGGGGAAAAAATTATATAAAGATGATCTGAATGATCATAGTTTCTACAGAATCCATCATCTGCATAAATATTTTAAGCTATATTATTTGATGCGAAAGAAAAACAAAATAGGTAAATCTACCCTGTTTAATGAGATCTGAACAGTATATTCTGAGAAGTTAAAGTTTGGGAATCTGGAGAAAAGTGGCTTATAGATTAACAGAGTTGGAAGGGACCTTGTAGGTCATTTAGTCCAACCCCCGCCCAAGCAAGAGATACTACCCCATTTCTGACAGGTGGCAGTCCAGTCTCTTCTTGAAAGCCTCCAAAGATGAAGCTCCCACAACTTCTGAAGGCAACTTCTGTTCCATGGGTTGATTGTTCTCACTGTCAGAAAATTCCTCCTTATTTCTAGGTTGAATCTCTCCTTGTTCAGTTTCCATCCATTGTTCCTTCTCTGGCCTTCGGGTGCCTTGGAAAATAGATTGACCCCTTCCTCCTCTCTGTGGCAGCCCCTCAAATATTGGAAGACTGTTTTCATGTCTCCCCTGGTCCTTCTCATGCCCAGTTCCTGCAATCGTTCATCATATGTTTCAGCCTCCAGTCCCCTAATCATCCTGGTTGCTCTTCTCTGCACTCTTTCTGGAATCTCAACATCTTGTGGTGACCAAAACTGGATGCAGTACTCTAGGTGTGGTCTTAAAAAGGCTTTATAGAGTGGCATTAGTACCTCCCTTGATCTTGATTGTATCCCTCTGTTAATACAACTTATGATTGCATTAGCTTTTTTGGCGGCTGCTGCACACGGCTGGCTCATATTTCACTGGTTGTCCACTAAGACTCCAAAATCCCTCTCACTGTTGTTGCTATTAAGCCTGGTTTCACCCAGTCTATATGTGTCCTTTTGGTTTTTCTTGCCTAAGTGTAGGACTTTACTTTTACCAGACCATTGGAAATAATTTTTGGGTGTGAGATAGATGCATGATCTCATTTTAAAGCTGCCAAGGGTGAGAAACACTGCCTTACAGAGATCTTTGAAGGCAAAGCTAGCATCTGAATTGAATTGAATTCTTTATTGTCATTGTACGTACATGCACAGTATACATATACAACAAAATTCACATAACACCCAGAGACCAGACCCAACAATCACGCATACATGACAATCCCCAAACACCTCCCCACCCACCAAAATTCCCTGCCTCCTAAAACACACACAAGCATCCACACAACAGACCAAGTAATACTGTCCAACAGCTCACTGATGGTGGTCCTTAAGTTCATTGTTTAGTGCAGTTATACCTCTGGGATAAAAACAGTTCAGGAAACGTGTGGTCTGAGTTTTAATGGTTCTGCATCTTCTGCCAGAAGGCAACAGTTCACAAAGATTGTGAGCAGGATGGGAAGAGTCGCTGAGAATGTTGTGCAACTTCCTTAAACAACGAGATGCGAAGATGTCGTCCAGGGCTGGTAGCTGGAGACCAATGATATTCTGGGCAGTTTGAATGCTTTTTTGTCCGCTCCAGAGCTGCTCCCATCCCATGCAAGGATGCTGTATGTCAGGACACTCTCAATGGTGCTGCGGTAGTAGGAGAGAAGTAGATGCTGAGATAGATTTATCTTCCTGAGCATTCTCAGGAAGTACTGCCTCTTCTCCTGTGCCTTCTTCACAAGCATGTTAGCATTCATCTGACCAACCTTGACTAAGTCCTGTAAAAGATAAGCAGTGTTGAACTTAGTTTTCTTCTCCCAGAGTCATAGCCTGGGAAGTAAAATCGGTACCCCAAAGAAATCAAGTTAATCATTTCCATATTATTGCCAAAAAATGACATTATTTTCCCCATCAATGGAGACGGAGGGTTTTGAAGGAGCGTCTAATGATGTCTTGCTTTATTTTTTTTTCCTTTCCTTTCAGAATGGCACCAGCTTCCATGTTTTCGATCAGAGTCAGTTTGCCAAGGAAGTCCTGCCCAAATATTTCAAGCACAACAACATGGCCAGTTTTGTCCGCCAGCTGAATATGTGTAAGTGACACTGGAAACTCAGTCGGGGATATTGGGGTCCTCTGAATGTGACTTTATTTACACCTCCCCTCATCCCAAGCCACTAACCGAATGTTAAGTTGTAAGTTGAGGATTACCTGACAAGCTGCTGGCTTGCTTTGATGATGCAAGAAAAAGAAGAGTAACGTAGAGGCATGCTTGATTTTGTGGCATTTTTCCCCACAGTTGTTAAGCAGATCACTACAGTTGTTAAACAAACCACATGATTGTTAAAACAAACCTGGTTTCCTTCCGTGACTTCCCTTGCCAGAAAGGGGCTACTGCCATGGTCATAAGTCTGAGGACTGGTAATAAGTCCTTTTTTCCCTCCAACACCGTATAAATTCGCATAGTCCTTAAATGAATGGCTGTAAGTCGAGGATTTGACTGTCTTGCATAATTCAAATCAATATTTTTCAAACTTGGGAACTTTAAGTGGTGTGGACTCAAACTCCCAGAATCCCCCCGATACTTTATCCAGTAATTGGGTTAACTTGAAAGGATAAACTGTTGCTCGAAGCCGAAGCCCAGAGTCACTCAGTAGTCAAACGGATTACATACAAATTTAATGAATAAATAAGAATAAAATAAAGTATACTGAATAGAAAATACAGTGTCTTTTGTAAGGATAATCTATAAGGCTATTATTATTGTTATTTATATTATGGTAATTTTTATTATAGACTTATCTAAAATTATACATAAAATTATATGAAAACTTTATAACAATTATAAACAAAGATAATTGCATGTGTTTAGTCACAGAAAGTTTCTCTTTGTTTTTCAATACAAATAGTCCAGTGGTGGGATTCAATTTTTTTTTACCATTGGTTCTGTGGGCATGACTTGATGGGCGTGGCTTGGTGGGTGGCTTGGTGGGCATGGCAGGGGAAAGTTCCTGCAAAATCCCCATTCCCTCCCCACTGACCTGCTTTCCAGCTCCGTTCTCCTGGACAGGGCAACCAAAGAAGACCCAGCTGATCAGCTGGGACTCAATGGGAGGCAGAGAAGAGATGGGGCCAGTCAGAGGTGGGATAGGCCAGTTCTCCGAACTACTCAAAATTTCCACTACTGGTTCTCCAGAACTGGTCAAAACCTGCTGGATACCACCTCTGAAATAATCCTCAACTTATGACCACAATGGAACTCAAAATCTCTGTTGCTCAGCGACACAGTGGATTTTGCCCCGTTTTATGAACTTTCTCATCCCAGTTGTTAAGTTAGTCACACAATTGTTCAGTAAACCTGGCTTCCCCACTGGAGTTTGCTTGTCCAAAGGTCGTAAACAGGGATCACTTGACCACGGGACACTACAGCCATCATAACTGTGAGTCAGCAGCTGCCAAGCATCCGAATTTTGATAACGTCACTTTCAAGGATGCTGAGAGGCTCCGAATTTTGATCCTGTGACCCTGGAAATGCTGCAGTGGTCACTCGGATGTAGAAACCAACCATGAGGTCATGTTGACAGCTCTTGAAAATGCGATAAAATTAGATTTGGCTAGTACTGTAATGAGAGACTAACAGGGTGTTGTGGTTTGCTGGCAGCCTGTGCAGACAGCAGCGGAATCGGACAGTGGGGAGGAACGGGGACCAGTGAGGGAGTCTGGGGAGGACTCAGACGAGGGTCCTGCATCCGATGCACCAATGGGGCCAGGACCATCTGGGAGTCGGGTGCTGACTCCAGAGCCACTAGAGTCTGGCAGCAGTGAGGCAGAGGAACAAGGGGAGCCTGTTCCCAGTGCATGCACAGAGCTGCTAGAAAGCAGGAGCAGCTGAGACTAAAGGGGCAACTCGTGAATAAGGCTGGGAGGTGATTGCCCCTCCCCTAAGGTATAAAGGACAGGCAAAGGTGGAGAAACTTTTGCAGGAAGCAAAGTTGTTCACTCTGTTCTGAAGCTCTGTGTGGACTTTGTACTTAGGTTGGCTTTTTACAGTTAATTTGGCACTTTAGTTTGTTGGCAGCAATTCAAAAGAGATAAAGGTGGGTGCTTATCTCGAGAGACTTTTTGGGACTCATTACTGGCCGGGAATGAACATAATTCCCAGCCTTGAAATAAAACAAGAGTTTTTTTGACTAAGCGTTACGGTCTTGGGAAGTCTTGGTCAGAACACAGGGAATCCTAGAAGAAGAAACTGGATTGAGAAGTTGGAAAAAAAAACCCACCTTGGATGGAGGCAGTGCCATTCGACGTTGGTGTTACTGACAAGAAAACAATAATTTCATCTTCCTCACCTTGGTCTCTGCTCTCTACCCATCCATCTTTTTGGTTATCGGATGGATGTATTATTCTCATTGTGTTTCTTTGTCATAGTTTATTTTATTGTTCTCTTGTTTTACTTCGTTTTATTTTTCATTTTTCTTCCTTTTTGTTATTGTGAGCTGCTTAGAGTAGCCGCCAGGGCAAAATAGTTGGCAAATAAATTTAACTAAGAATAATAATGACATTAATTGAAACTAAGTCTACCAAGTCTTAAGGGGCGTGCATGAGCGCACCATCGTTCCTACCATCCCTGTCCTATTGTCCTCAATTATTCGTACCTATTTCCTGTATTTATACTTATGTTTAGTCTTATCTTTATTATCTTGTAAGCGATTGACAAATCAAATCAAATAAAAATAAGTCCCTTGAGGACAATCTGGATTTGAGGGATGTCCTTGACTTACAACAGTTCATTTAGTGACCATTCAAACATTACAACAGCACTGAAAAAAGTGACTTACGACTGTTTTTCACAATTATGACCATTGCAGCATCCCCTGATCAAAATTCAGATGCTTGACCACTGGTTCGTACTTATGACCCCTTTTACAACCTTCTGATAAGCAAAATGTCAACTCAAAAAACATTTTTTATACACATTTTATAGTTGACAACAGAAACGGGGGCGGGGGGGAGTTTCAAAGAGCAGGCAGCAGTGTGGAATCGAAAGTACATTCCATTCATATTTTTTTCAAAGACTGATTAGATGACTGAAGCTTCTGCTGCTCAAAAATCCAATTGGAGAGCATGATTGATGACTCTTGGCTATGGACGTGTTTCGTTGGATGATACACCCAGAGGGGTGGGGTGCGGGGGAAAGCAGGATCAAGGGTGACAGTGAATTACGTATCTCAGAGTTGGCTACGCCCAGGTTAGTGCCGGACGTAGAATGTTAACTTCTAATAAGTCCTTTTTAGTTTTGGGAGTGTGGCTCGAAGCTCATGATTTAATTGGAGTAACTGCCAGAATCCTGGCACAAAGTCCATGAGGAAGCAAGATTCACTTTAACAACCATGTGACTAACAACTGCAATGATTCACTTAACAACAGTGGCAAGAAAAGTCATAAAATAGGGCGAAACTCACTTAACCCACGTCTTACTTAGCAGCATACATTTTGGGCTCAATTGTGATCTTAAGTTGAGGACTTACCTGTACTGCTCTTGGATCTTAACAGATGTCTGGTTTTCCTGCCCCTCGGAATCACTGGATTGTGGCATTTATCCCGATGTGGGGTTTTGGGGGAGTCATGATGCAATGAAAATTCACATCTTAGAATCAGGTTTCTAGGGCGGGAAGGGACCTGGGAGGTCTTCCAGTCCAACCCCCTGCCCAAGGCAGGAGGCCATCCCAAACAAATAATTCCAAAGGTGCTTTTTCAAAAGGCAACTGGACTTTGTTTTACCTTGAAGACGTTTCGCTTCTCATCCAAGAAGCTTCTTCAGTTCTGATTGGATGGTGGAGAATCTGATACGACACTACCTGTCTCCTGTTTACAGCAAAGATGATTAGACAGGGGGCTAAAACATATGAAGAACGGTTGCAGGAAGTGTGTATGTCTAGTCTAGTGAAAAGAAAGACTAGGGGTGACATGATAGCAGTGTTCTGATATCTCAGGGGCTGCCCCAAAGAAGAGGCAGTCAAGCTATTTTCCAAAGCACCTGAAGGCAGGACAAGAAGCAATGGATGGAATATAAACAAGGAGAGAAGCAGCTTAAAACTAAGGAGAAATTTTCTGACAGTGAGAACAATTAACCAGTGGAGCAACTTGCCTCCAGAAGCTGTGAATGCTCCAACACTGGAAGATTTTAAGAAGAGACTGGACAGCCACTTGTTTGAAATTGTATAGGGTTTCCTGCCCAAGCAGGGGGTTGGACTAGAAGACCTCCAAGGTCCCTTCCAACTCTTCTATTCTATTCTATTCTATTCTATTCTATTCTATTCTATTCTATT